GGGGGGGGGGCGGCGAAAGCCCAGCCGACGGTCCCGGCGTTCCGCGGCGCGCCTTCAGACGGGAGGCACCGCTCCCTCGCACGGCCCTCCTTTGAAGCAGGGGAGGCGCCAACCTGGACTCGCAGCAGGCATCAGCCGAGGGGGTCGCTTTGGCCGAGTAACACGTGCACCGCGATTCTCATACGCACAGGTCCCGAGTCGGAGCCCAAAGCTTCAAGAAATACGCAGGCGTGCTTTCGAGCGCGTTTACTTGGGAAGTGTTGGCTCTGGACGCGCACTGTAATAACTGGTCAGTCAACTCAGAAGTAAGGAATCACTCCCAGGATTTAGGCAGCCTAGGTCAGGCGCTTGAGGTCCCTGGGGAAACCGACGGAGCACGTTAGGCATGGCTTCGCTCATTAAAGTCTCGTTAATCTGTGGGAAACTCTGCCTGGATTCATTTGGGACTATAGTTCCCAGGAGATCACACAGCCGCCATAACAGCACGTGACCCTTTCAGCTCGCTTATTCTGCATCCCTCCGTATTTGCTGCTTGAGGCAGTTTCCTCAAATTTTAGTCGGCTCAATGGTAACAGACCATGCTGGTTGTGTGATGTACCCTCAGGTGACATGCGAGGTACCGGGACCGTAATAGGATTTTCAAGGTGAGATATTTAAAGAGTGATTTTTACCATTGCAACCCCTGCCCGCCAGTTTCCATGGCTGAGGGGGAAGGAGGATTCAAATCCATCACTCTATCCACCGTACTGGCTGGCTAGGGTTCATATATTTGCTGAACAACCTTTTCACACCTTTTATCTCCCATATTACCAAAATGGCAGTGAATTCTCAAGACACTACTGTATTCTTATTCTTTTTCTAATTAGACGTCTGTCAAAACTCTTGCCAGTCATGCTCCACTAGAACTCAAGAGAATAAATTCAGTATAATAACAACAGCAAACAGCAGGTCCACGATGCTAAATAACAGGTCACAACAATGCCAGATACAATAAATTATGGGAGTTTGCACCTCTGTCCATGTTGTGCTTCAGGTAAGGCATCTCATCACCACTCCGTGATATGTTATATATCTTGAAAAAGCAATTACAGTATACGGTTGCTGTAAGTTCGATGCAACCTGATGACACATAACAAACAAAAATAAGCCTTCGAGAACAGAAAAATAAGTACCTTTTGCCTGAATCCTTTTGCACTTCACTGCAAGCATAGAAACACAATTAAACCTACAGTACTACTCTACTACTCAAGAGAAGAAGGGAACGACAGAGGACGAGATGATTGGACAGTGTTACCAAAGCTACCAACATGAATTTGACCCGACTCCGGGTCAAAGAGTTGGACACAACTTAACAACTAAACAACAACAACTACTCTACCAGCCTAAACACACCTCATCAATTTTGGAAGATAAGCAGTTATTGTCTGCTTCCAAAGGGAGGCTACTCAAGAGAAGAAGGGGACGACAGAGGACGAGATGATTGGACAGTGTTACCAAAGCTACCAACATGAATTTGACCCGACTCCGGGTCAAAGAGTTGGACACAACTTAACAACTAAACAACAACAACTACTCTACCAGCCTAAACACACCTCATCAATTTTGGAAGATAAGCAGTTATTGTCTGCTTCCAAAGGGAGTAGTTGCTTCCATGAAAGCTCCTAATGAGCATGGTTTTACTCTGGACTAATAATGATGTTAGTTCTATCTTAATACTGTATAGTGATGACTCGCAAGATGAAATTACTTCGTTCCGCGAGTCATGTCATATTGTGAAAATTTTGTCTTGTGAGGCACAGTACTAACGATTGTGTGATTTAAAACAAAAAATATATAATTTTTTTTGTCTTGCGAAGCACGGCCACAGAAAAATTTATCTTGCGAGTCACCCCCCCAAAAAATCACAAAATGCTTCCGTCTTGTGAGGTTTTTTTGTTGCGTGAGGCATTCGTCTTGCAAGGCATCACTGTATTCCTCTGGATCCAACCTTCCAAGATATGCTGGGAAAAGGGGATGTCTCCCGCTACAAAGCAACATTAAAACAAAAAGTAGGAATAACTATTCTGTATTAGATGTTTGATGGAAATGAGAGCTGGACCATAAAGAAGGCTGACTGCCAAAGAATTGATGCTTTTGAATTGTGGGGCTGGAGGAGACTCTTGAGAGTCTCCTGGACTGCGAGGAGAACAAACCTATCCATTTTGAAGGAAATCAACCCTGAGTGCTCACTGGAAGGACAGATCCTGAAGCTGAGGCTCCAATACTTTGGCCATCTCCCTGGAAAATACCCTGATTTGGGGAAAATGTGAGGGCAAGAGAAGATGGGGACAACAGAGGATGAGATGGCTGGACAGTGTCATCAAAGCTACCAACATGAATTTGATCAAACTCCAGGAGGCAGTGGAAGACAGGAGGGCCTGGCATGCTCTGGTCCATGGCATCACGAAGAGTCGGACATGACTTAATGAATGACTAAACAACAACAATTAGATGTTAAGGGTACATAGTCAAAATCTCTAAGATGGGAACGACAGAGGATGAGATGGCTGGACAGTGTCATCAAAGCTACCAACATGAATTTGATCAAACTCCAGGAGGCAGTGGAAGACAGGAGGGCCTGGCATGCTCTGGTCCATGGCATCACGAAGAGTCGGACATGACTTAATGAATGACTAAACAACAACAATTAGATGTTAAGGGTACATAGTCAAAATCTCTTGAAAAAAACTCCCCAATACACAAGGCAATATATATTTCATTAAATGTCTTATTTACCAAGGTTAGCTACTATGCTTAGAGAAACACACAGGCTTTTAAGCTGGATGGTACATGTTCCTCTGTACAACTACAAATCTTGAACAGCTTTGTTTTGCCAGGATCATCACACTCTGAAAGAGGTAGTCTCTTTTTCAACCTTTGTATCCCTCACTCTTAAAACATATGTATTTCTTATCTTCTCCTCTCTCTGGTCACCAGTGCTTAAAATGCATTTGCATTTTATATCCCCCCCCCTCAAAAACAGGGCTAAATATCAAGCAAACAAAGCAAAGGATGATAATGCATTGGTAGAAAAGACCCATTTTGCAAACAGAAGGGGCCATGTTTAGTCTACTGCATTTCCAGGTCGGGTTGGTGAAAACTCCTGCTTGAGATGTTGCAGAGCCAGTGCATACCAATTTAGACCGGTGGTTCCCAATCCTGGGTCCCCAGATGTTCCTCAACTACAACTACCAGAAATTCTGGTAAGTACAGCTAGTGGTGAAGGCTTCTAGGAGAAGAGCTTTAGTCCAAGAACATTTGGGAGCCCAAGATTGGGAACCACCGGTTTAGACCGAAGCTACAAAACCTGATACCTGGTAAATATCTGTGAATGACAATATCCATAACCCTTGACCACTGGTGGGATATATAGTCTGCATCTGGAGGGCTCCCAGTTGCATAGCCCGGGTGCAAACAATAGTGAGTGAAGTGGTCAATATAAAGTAGCTTTCAATTTCCTTAGACAGCTGGCGTTTCTCTCCCCCGCCCACCAGTATCAAACCAATGTTGAATTTGATAAACCAAAAAATCACCATGTTCACCATGGGACCAATGTTTTATTTTACTGCTCTGTTGAGAAAAAAAGGCAGAGGTGCTCAAGCACAAGGTTTTTTTTTCCACACACAGCAATGTGGAACGAATATTAGTTGAGGTTTTGTTTTCCCCACCAAGTTCAAAAAGGCAGCAAGAAAAGAGAACAAGACTAGCAGGAAAATGTCTAATACTTCCCCAATATATTATAGCAAAAGCATGATCTTTGTATAGACAAAAACAACTTTTTTTCCAAGTTTCCAGTCTGAAGTTACATGTATTTGATGAGTCTTGATGGCTGATGGCTACTGCTATGAAAAAAAACCACACATACAGACACACACTTTGGGATATGATCAGTTAGAACGTAATGGATAAAGGAGTCAAAGTTTTATATCTGCTTTGTAAGAAGAAGCTTTGTG